CGCTGATCTTAATGCACGTCCTGAAAGGCACCCAAATTAAGAAATATTCATTATATTCCTCTAAAGAGAAGACTATCACCTGGTGAGCTATACATTTCCTATTTGTTCTTCTGTCCAGGCACTCTGTTATTCAGTCAGCTTATATTCTTTATTAATCCCTGCAGAACAATTGCATGGCAATAAAATACCATAGGGTATTTATTTATTTATTTATTTGATGTGTTTATATGCCGCCCTTCTCCAGAAGGACTTAGGGCAGCGAACACAAGTTAAAAACATGTACAACAAAATAATAAATAATAAAACCCAGAATCAGAGTCAGCCTATTTGCTTGAACAGCCAAGTCTTCAGATCCCGACGGAAGGAGCAGAGATCAGGAGCCATCCGGAGCTCAGTAGGCAACTCATTCCAGAGGGTGGGAGCACCCACAGAGAACGCCCTACCCCTGGGCGCCGCCAGATGACATTGGCTCGCCGTCGGAACCCTGAGGAGAGCAGCCCTATGTGAGCGAACAGGATGGTGAGAGGCAGGCAGGAGAAGGTCCTGCAAATATCCCGGACCTAAGTCATGTAAGGCCTTAAAGGTGAGAACCAGCACCTTGAAGCGGACCCGGAGAACCACTGGTAACCAGTGCAGCTCATGCAGGAGAGGTGTTATATGGGAGTAACGAGGGGCTCCCGTAACAACCCGTGTGGCTGCATTCTGGATCAGCTGGAGTCTCCGGGTGCATCTCAGGGGCAGGCCCATGTAGAGGGAATTGCAGTAATCCAAGCGGGAAGTAACCAGGGCATGAGTGACAGTGCGAAGGTCATCTCGGTCCAGGAAAGGCATAAATCAGAGAGAGGGATTCCCCCCTCCTGCCCCAACCAGGTCTCCGTGATACAGGCGAGGTCCGCACCCTCTTCATCAATAAGATCTCGTATGAAGGGGGGCCTTATTCACCATGGACCTGGCATTCACATACACCAGATGGAGAGGGTCCCTCGCTCTCGCATCCCCAGGAAAGCAGGGTGAGCAGGAGGCATGGGAGCAAGTCACCACCCGAATGCATCTGGTGTGATGCTTCCGACCCCTATTTCCATTTCTTCTGCCCCATCCCACCATCACAGGTATAGAATGTCCCACCCCTTTCCGAACATCCTCTACGACTCCCAATCCCCCCAATCCGCCAGGACCATCAGAATATTGATCAACATTCTGTGGAATTTTATGATTTTCATCAGCTGTCCAAATGTAAACAATAACAGAGCCTGTGTGTAACCCATGTGCTGTACATAAGACTACATTCAATCCCCACCAATCATTGCGAGACCTCTAAAAGCAATTTGGTTAATGAAGAGGCATACCCTGTACTTCAATTGTTTAGGACTATACAAGTGAAAAACAGCATCTTGAATGTTGCTCAGACACATGAAGCAAACTAATAAGGCTGTTTCCAAGATTGTTATTAGGAGGTAACCTACAGTTTGTTCCCTTTAACTGACAGACCAAGTTAGCTAGCTCACTCAGCTTAATAACAGGGCCAACCCTGCTTTCTGCTCCTGTATCCATCGGGCCTCCTGTTGATATTTAGATGTTAAACTTCTCATGGTAGAGCTTTAGCTTTATTTTATTTTTTCTGCAAGACGCCATTAATATTGACCTATATAAACATTAATACATGACCATCAGAGTGGCTTTAGCTCACTAAGGAGAAGTTCGGAAATGTCAGGGCATTGCTGAGGTTTAAGCTTCGGTTTTGCTGCTGATTATAGCTTCTCTGTGTTTTGTCAAATAGGGGCTCTGTATTTCATCAACAAGAGCTTATTCCTCTCCTCCTTTCTTCTCCAACTAAATTAGCTCTTTTCTTTTCTTGGTTTAAAACTAATCAGCCAGGCTTCAAACCAATCAAAATTTAACTAAGGAAAAACAACCTGTTCTCCTTCTCAAATCTGTTTGGGTATTAAGTTGGCCTATTAACAAACATTAAAGACTTTTGGTGATCTAGATTTTAAGGGGAATAGCTGATTCAGAGCAGACGTGGGTGTGCACTGTCGCATCTGCCAGCACCTTCTTAAATCAAATGTGCTTTTTTTTTTTTTTCATAGGCAGTCGTGCGAGTCCAGGAAAAGACAAAGTTTCTTTAAGGAGTTGCTGACAGTATGACGTCCACTCCCACTGTGCTTCAAATCAGCTTTTTCCCTTAAGATCCAGATCATTACATAACCTTAACAAACTTTGTCCCATATATATATATATCTCCCAGCAATTAAAGCAATTTGAAAGGAAGGCATGATTTATTTTGAAATAAATCACCATAACTCCATAAATGCAAACGTTCTTGTTCTAATACAAATCTCCTCCTCTCTTTTCTGTTCTCCTTACAATCAATTGGATGATAAAGTTAGTGTGTCTTTTTTCTATGCAAGTGAATTAGCAGTGCAAGGGAAAAGCTTTATTGATCTTGAATTTATCATGTCCAATTTTGTGATAAAGTTCCATGCCAAACTGATTAAACCTCCCTTTATTGTGCTTATTCCAATTAAAAAAAAAAAACTTACAGGTAGCCCTCAATTTATGACCACAATTGGGACCAGAATTTCTGCTGCTAAGAAGTGATATGACTTGCACCTGATTTTATGACTTCTTTTGCCATGCCTCTTAAGTGAACCACTGCAGTTGTTATATGAAGCATGTGGTCATTAAAGAAATCTGGCTTCCCCCATTGACTTTGCTTGTCAGAAGCCATCTGGGAAGGTGAACAAATTGTGATCACATGACCCCAGGTTACAATGCAACCATTGTAAATACATGTTGGTTGCCAAGTGCCCACATTTTGATCACTATAATTGTGAGGATGCTGTAACGGTTGTAGCGCAAGGACTGGAGGTCATGTTTTTCAGTGCCGTTGTAACTTCAGATGGGCACTAAACAAATGGTTGTAAGTCAAGGACTACCTCTAAACCATCCATCTTTTTTTAAGTCCTTCAAAGTTTAGATGATTTTTTTCTGGAAATCTAACAATTTCATCCTGTTCCCAGCCCTGCAGCTTTCTTGCCTGATTTGCAAGGACCTCCATTCCTTTCAAAGATTACTTGTAGACTACAATTCTGCCATCTCTTGTCTTTTCTCACCTAGCCAGATGGTTTAATTAGAAATTTATGACAACATTAGAAGGAAACAACTAGTTGGAAGGGTAGCCTTGCAGGCATACACTGTTTCCTTATTCATTTCCCCAAGCTTTTTCTTGGAGGACTTTCTTTTCAGAGTTAGATATGTCTGCACCCATACATTGCACAGATACTAAGAGAGGCACACATTGGGATAGTTGATCAATATTTTGTATCCTAATCTGGACAAAATAAACTATGGAAACTGATGATGAGGATGGTGATACAAAGCAATCATCCAAAGCAATTATTGTTTTTTAATCTGCTATGAATTCAGGATAATGCATGAAGAAATATCTTCAGAAAGTGTCTCGAAAGCCATTCCCGACTTTATGTGGTCAATTTTAAACTGTGTTATTGCTCAGTTTTCTCTAGATGCCAAAAATTCTAGCTCATTTGTAGGATAACCTTCTCAGCTGTGATCTAACCATTTGCTCTGTCTGCATCCTTAAGATGTTTCTATCTACCTACCTACATTCTGATTGCAATTGTAACCTAATTCATTGTCTCGAGTGCTACTTTGCACAGTTTATAGAAAGTCCAGGAATACCAACAATTCTAGGCTCTGGACAAATGGAAAAACATCTAAAACAGTGATTCTCAGACCCAGCCAATTATCGTAGCACATCCCGGGATGGTAGATTCTGTTGGATTTCTGGATTCCTTGACATTACTTGTGAGCTCAAGGAAGCTATATTGTTGTTGAGGAAGCAGTACATTTTCAAGCTGACAGACTGAAAGTCTGGCATCTAGATCCATTTAAATATATCTATCTATCTATATATTTAATCCAGATGGTCAGACGAGCCTTTTAAGAGTCAGATTTGTGTTTGTGACTTTGAGTGCTATAGTTGATCCCTTAAATTATTGCTTTTAAGAGTCAGTTTTCTACGATCAGTGGCCACATAAATTGTACACGTACAAAGTTTAGATTGTCTAAGCAACTGACATTTATCATTCTGGATTTTCAGTGTAGAGGCGTTCTGGAGGGAAATAAACCCAGATTTCTGTAGGATGTTTCCTAAATTCAGACAATGAATCTAGAAGCAAGAAAAACTGAAACAGTTCCAAAGTACAATAATTCCTAATTTCCATTTTTGAACAGTCATGTTTAGGCTTCATAATAACATGAAAATATGCTTATTAAAAGAAAACACCATAATAGCTACTAAAGTTCAGTAAATGAAAAGGTAAAATTGCTTGAAAATTGTTTAAATGTTAAAAAAAATGTGGTTTGCCATTGCCTTTTTCAAGGTTTGTTCAAGTCATTTAACTTCTTAGCAGCAGAAATTCTGGTCCCAATTGTGTTCATAAATTGAGGACTACCTGTCAGTTTTTTCTTTTAATTGGAATAAGCACAATAAAGGCAGGTTTAATCAGTTCGGCATGGAACTATCACAAAATTGGCCACTCTAGCCTAGAGACCTGAGATTTCCTGATGATTCTTCATCCAAGTACTAACAAAATCCTACAATACTTACCTTTCCAAGATCTTCCAAGTTTGGATAGATGTTACGTACCTCAGCCAACAGCAAATAAAGTTTCTCTCTTTTTTTGTAAATAGTTTTTTTTAAAATTTTTAAACAAACAAACATACAATGCATCATTAATCATTCAGTGTGTCATCTGAGTACATATTTTGTGTCCTCTACTTCCTCCTCCATCATTTTCTTACTTTATTTCTATCATATCTTTATACTTTCATTTAAGCAAATAAAGTTGTAATAATTTATGTAGGTTGCTTGGGAAACATTAAAAAAAACAGCTTAGGAAAAAAGGAAAACAACTTAAAATGTCTACACACGTTATAACATTCTTGAGATATCATTTTTCTTAATATTTTTCTTGCAGACATTCGAGATAGTGGGGGACCTAAACCAGTCATGGTGTATATTCACGGAGGGTCTTACATGGAAGGCACTGGAAATTTATATGATGGCAGTGTGCTCGCAAGTTATGGCAACGTGATCGTCATCACTGTCAACTACCGACTTGGGGTACTTGGTAAGCAAGATTTTACTTTAACACTTGCCTTCTGTGGTTCCCTTTCTCTTGTTGAGAAGGTTGTAGAAATAGATGTAGATGTTGAGGTGGATTTAGATGTAGACCTCAAGAGAATGTGGTTCTTCTTCTTTTTTTTTTTTGTGTTGCTCTATATTAAAGGAAATATTTTTATTTGGCTGATTTGAATTGATCGTTGCATGGAGTCACCTGAGTTGCATTCTGTTCTGATGGCCAAGAGGAAAAAAAATCGATCTTTTGGAATTATATGTGGTTGCTGCCTGCACGTATTTGCTGTGAACTTTAGAGTCATTAGTTGTACATATTGTCAAGTAATCTAAAGTGAATGGCAAGTGTTAAGATGAGATGCAATTCTTTCTGTTTGCCAGGAGACAAAAACGTGAATACCGTTCTGACAGGTTCATTATGCATTTCTGGATAATAAGAATGTTTTGAGAAATGTTAATCACTGCCAGTGTCAGCTTTTATATTTAGCATGGCACCTTAAAGCAGAAATGTATTACTACAGCTTAAGAGAATTCCAGCTTCCAGAAGAAGTTATTTCAAAGGGATAATATTTTGTAGCTTTAGTTATGGAAAAGTACATTGAGGCTGTGTTCATTACATGAATACAATCGAATTGGAAAGTCTGTTTCTTAGTCTAGGTTTAGGAATCAGCTTTCCTCAAACTGGCCATAGCTGGAAAAATTAAAATCTCTTTCAAATCAGTTGCAGTTTCTGGTGACTTCATGAACACAGAGATGTAGTTTTCTTGAAGAGAGGTCTATTGGAATTGACTGTTGTGCGATGTGGTAACTGCATGTATTTGTATTTCTTTCCATTTTTATTATCCAGTCTAGGACATTAGATTGCAGAAGGATTAGATTAGTAGCTGTAAATGCTTCTAAATAATGAATTTGACCTTTTGCTTTCCGAGTTCCTCTGAAGAGCATCATAAGATGCATTTAATTCTATGGACAGTTATCAACAGTTTTAGACACATAAGAGTATGTAATGCAGAGTGATGAAGCGATGTGTGATTTATAAACTCTGGTTTGCCTTAAACTGAGGGAAGATTACTTGGTCATGTGGCTTAACTTTAGATTGTTTCTTCAACACTCAACGTGGGCTTGTGGTTTCCTGTTGTTGGCTCTTTTGTAGAAATCATCTCTCTGCTTTTATTGGGTGATTACAAAAGGATGTGCTGGCTTAAAGATTTTTTAAAAATGAGATTTCACTTCCCTTGGTGTTGGCTTTGAATGAAATCAATCTTCAGTTCTTGAAATTTCTTCACCTGGGAATCCTTCCCTTTTTTGCTGGCAACATGAACAATGCAATTTAATAGTTGTGTGTAACACAAAGTTCAGTATCCAGACCTTTGCTTTGATCTGTATCACATATCTTTGCATGACTACTTAATGTATTCTTCACTTCCTCAGTGCAATTAAATATTGACTCAAAATCTCTAGAGACATGTTATGCATTAATTTAAAACAATGTGTGCGGTCAGCTTGCAGAATCATCTTTCTGTTTAGCATAAATTTCTTGTTTCTGTTTTGTGTGCTTCTGGGTACAGGATGTAGGATAGCTCTGCTTACAGTGCATACAGCCATTACATTTTAAATCTATAAACTAAAATATAAATGAGGGATGGGTGAGTAGATATATTATCTAGAACAGGACAATGTAATTATAAATTTGGAAACACTTTCTACTTAACAGAACAAAAGTAATTATATGCAATAGGTGGTAATATACAATCTGGTCACACATTTGTTAATCCAACTGATAACCCTTAGTTTCCCTTGCTTAGTGGAGCAGCCATGGGGTAGTAATACTACAAAGCTTTAAAAAGAGGCAGAGAAGATTATATTAGTCAAGATTCTCCTGAGCTCATTACAAGCTGAACATACAGCTCTATCGAAATGTAAACCCAGGTAATCATGGATTCACTGACTGCATATCGTACTGGCTTTCATTTCTCCATATTTTTTTTCTCTAATATACATTTTTGAGGAAATGAGATATTAGGGAAGGACTGGTGGAAGAATACTGATAGTTCACTCCTTCCAAATGGTGATCCCTCAGGTATCCTGGTCCCAAACCATATGCTGTTCCTTCCAAATCAATAGATATACAGGGATATCTATTGCTTTGGAAGGCACAGCATATGGTTTGGGACCAGGATACCTGAGGGATCACCTTTTTGCAAGAGACACGGCCCGTCCAACAGAATGAGCAGAATGAACATGCTACAGATCGCTAGTCAAATAATGTCGGCTGCTAGAGACCAGAAGATAAGCTTTTTCCTCAGTGGCCCCTGCCCTATGAAATACCCCCCCTTCAGAGATTGCACTGGCCCCAACCCAGTAGTGGGTTTCAAAACCCATCACTACCGTTTTGCTCATGGGCACATGCACACTCGCATGTGATGCTTCTGCGCATGCGCAGAAGCATCTGAGCAGGTGGGCGGAGCCTCCCGCCACCGCTGCTACCAGTTCGATCGATCCAGGGCAAACCAGTAGCAACCCACTACTGTCCCAACCCTGTTAGGTCCTAAAAACCTGAAGCTTGAGGTGCTAAATGTGTCAAGGGTCTCATTACTGGCAAAGTATCTGGCTCCTAAGTATATTTAATTTGGATGGTTTTAGTGTTTTTATTTGTTTTAATGTTTCTATTGTTTTAATATTTTAATGGTAATACACACATTGAATCACTTTGCCATGAAATGTACAGTATGATTAGTATATTGCGAGGGGAAATAGGATGAAGGAAGAATAGGTATGTTTGCTGCCTTGAGTTATTTATTTAAAAAAAATAATAAAGGTGGGATAAAAATAATGTAAAATATAAAATACACGTTTAAATGGGGACCAGCTATTTTAATTCCTAATTGGAGAATTTGATCAACACACTCAGAGTGATGAAACTGAGATAGGTGGCCGTATTAATTGAAAAAATAAATAAATAACCATAGCCCCATTAATAAAATAATAAAATATGAAATAAATCATATTGGCGCTGGATAATCCACATAATCACAGACATTCAATCACAATAGACTTCCCGCTTACTATTTATTTCCCCAATTTTGTATATGTAATATACTTGGAAAAACTTTAAAGTTTGCAAGATTTCTGAGCTTCTTTGGAACACTTACTGGTAATTTAAACTGCTATAAGTGTTCTATAAGAAAGTCCTGGAAAGTCTAGTTAAAGGAAAGGAACCTATTTCCCTTTAAATTGTTAAAAAATGGCTATTTAGTTTGAAATCTGAAGCTTCCATTTTTAATTATTTGTTGTCATTGTTTATATAAGTATCTTGATCAAATTCTCTGATTAATTAATTAAAATAGCTGGTCCCCATTTAAACAAATATTTTATATTATTTTTATCCCATCTTTATTATTTTTTATAAATAACTCAAGGTAGCAAACATACCTAATCCTCCTTCATTCTCCTATTTCCCTCACAATATACTATTAATTGTAAATTTCGTGGCAAAGTAATTCTTAGTTAGAGGACTATGAATCCTTGTTCTGGTTAGAATCCAGTGTGTTGAATCTAGGAATTTTCAATGCAGAGTGCAATGACACTGCCTTGCTTATCTAGCCTTTTTTTTTTCTGAAATAAATTAGGAGCCTTCTGTCCAGATCTTTTAATATTTCCTAGAATTGGCACTTCATTAACATATGGGAATAAGCTTTTTGAATCATTTATTCATTGCAACTACATATAACTTGTGAAAGAATGTAGAGGAAGCTTGGCAGGAACTGTTGAATTGTTACAGGAAGAGTTTCAGAAATGATTATCCAGTCCTGAGAAAATATGAGAAAGAAATGCAAAATAATCCTGCCTGAATTTTGTTTGGAATAAAATAATGGGGATAAACTATGGTAGGCTTTTGAGATTGTTATTTTATGTTTTCACAATAACAGCATTCTTTGTTTTCTGCTATCCCTATTTCTTGACTTTGACTACCCCAAAGGTTTAATACAATTGCCTTTCTGAGTAGAATCTCCCAAAGCAGTTTACAAGTACTGTAGAAATTGCAAATAATTCTACAATGAATCTTGTAGAAAATCATCTGAGTAGTTGGGGGTGATTATTCTGTGAAATCCAAAAATACAACTTTGTAGGCTTCTGTGTGATTCTGTTTCAAAATTTTATTTGTCTAATTCATTATGAAACATACTCTAAATTCCACACACTCGTTTATGAGAGAATAAATCCAAGTTATTAATGAAAAAAAATAACTATCTAGCAAATTGGAAATATTGTGTCTCTGGGTTTGAGGAAGAAACTGATTTTCTTGTTCCAATTTTTTGCACGAAGAATTACTGATTTCCTGTTCTATGGCTCAGAGTTAATCCTCCTGATATTTTTTTATCATGACAAATTTGGAATTCGTGATCATTCCTAAAGTTTGATGATTTAAGAAGTGACACTGTTATTTTTCATTATGATCTTGGCAGATATTTCTAAGGACTTCAAGTTTTTGAATTATGTTTGCTGTCCTGAACTGAAACAATATAATTTTGAATGATTGCTGAAACTACCAGTATACCAAGGCATTAAGAAAGAAGAAAGATCTGTTTTTTAAAATAAATAATATTGAAATATTTTTGAAACATTTTAAATATGGCCTATCTGAGCTGCTACATCACTTTCAATGCTTCTTTTTTCTTCTAACCAAAGCTTGGAAAGGCAGATGACAGTGCCAATATGAGGTAGTTTAGAACTAGCATGAATTCAACTGTCACACATCTGTTCATCATGAGGATACAATCACTTGCAAGCTCCCCAAATCAATTGTTCATGACTTTTCTAACCACTTCATTATTTTGAGGAATTAGACAATATATAAATGAAGCCTACAGTTTGATAACATATATTTTTCCATATACTACGGAACAGGTAATATGGGGGTGGTATGAAGATAATGATTGATTCAGAGAAGATTAATATGCTCTGGATAAAGAAATCAACTGTTTATTTTAGATG